GGATTGTAAATTTGTGGTTTCATCTGCAAGATAAAGAAGATTGAGATCTTTTTTGATTTACATTTATGATTTGTATTACATTTTCTATTTTCAGAAATTCTTATGGACCTCTTATGTCCATTGGCAAAAAAAAAAAGAAAAGAAAAAGCATACTTGTAGTCCTCTAACCTTTTTCATCTGATGGAAAAAAAGAAAAAAGATGAGTCCTGAAAGCAGAATTGAATTCTTCCCTTCTTGACCTTTTTTTTTTTTTTTTTTTTTTTTTTTTGTCTTAAGGGTTCAGCAGCAGATGTGAAAAGATGGCCCAGAAATATGTAACATAAATCTCAGCTGTCAGTGTAATGAAGACTTTTATTTCACAAAGCTGAAGAGCAGTTTTATTATGTGAAGCAGTGTCTTTTCCAATAGCACTGGAAGTAAACATTCTGAAAGTAACTGAGAACCCCAGTCCTTTACAATTCCAGCAAGAATTGGGTATACAGCTGTAGAATTTACAGATTGTCTGTGTCTTTTGCATAATATTTCCTTCCAGACAAATCTAGGCTCTAAGAGATGCCAAAAGACAGTTTAGGCAAAACTAAACAAAGCCCTGAATGACCATGAGGACAAATCATCATGCTGGATTAGGTTCCTGAAGAAAGCACCTGAGACAGACAGCTAAAATTCCCATTGCACTCCACGGACAGGAAGACAAACCTGATATATTTTATTTTGCACATCACCTTTAAGATGAAACAAAATATCCTAAAAAGTATTTATTTATCTGCCTTGAATTCAGACATACCTCACTTCTGGATGTCAACAATTCATTGTATAAATCCCTCTTTCAACTCAATTTTGGAAGTTGGATTTAAGTGTCTAAAATTTTTAAATGCTTTTGAGAATCCACCCTGTAATTTTTTTGTAGCTCAGTACAAAGTCTTGATATCATGCACAGGCAAGCTGAGATATGGGCAATTTTAATAAAAGCACCATCAGGATCTCTTTCAGTAGTGGTCTCAATTGTCTCCAAAAGCTTCAGCAGAATTACCATTCTTTGAAAGCAGAAAAGCAGATGTATTCTTCGAACTATCTGGCAACAATTATATCTGGTTGATGCAAAGAAGAACCCTGGGGGCAGTGCAGAGCAGTGTCTTGGTAATATTTAATCACATTTTGGAAGAATGCATTGATTGTAGAGTTCACTGTGCGTAGAGAGACCTTGGAGATTGTGTTCAGTTTAACTGAGCACCAACAGCCTTTAGGTTAGATTGCATCACACACAGATGTTTTACTGATTAACTCTCTTAAAACATGACATTTAATTTTCTTTCAAGATATACCCTATCCACTCTTTTATTCATGCACACAGATTATCCAACATTAAAAACAAAAAACCACAGTATTCAGAAATTCATACTGCTTACTCTTTCAGGCCATTTCATGACATTCCCCTTGATAACAATACAGAACGTTCCTTCAAAAACATGGGAACTGGTTTTGTTTGTTTATCCTTTCTTTTACATTGTTCCAGAATGTCAATTCTGACATTCCATATTTTTGCTGAAATTCTTCTTTGTAGCTTCACCAGAGCTATATAATTGAGGGTGAATTAATCAAATACAAGTGTTACAAACCAGAATTTTAAATGCTATGAGCAAAAACATTTTCCACCCTTCTTCAAAGCTCATTCTGCTCTGTATAAACACCACTTTGCTGATTCTTCAGCCATCAAAAACTTTTCTGAGCTTTCTCGATGTAAAGCTGTAGGCAAATAATAGGAGTAAGAAGGTTCAATTCTGACTTTTTATACACATGATGCAAAGGAAGTCACAGCCTGACTCTATTTTCATTCTCTTAAGCACATGCTGGGAATGAGAATACTCTCCAGATGGTCTTTCCCATTCTTTGCACAGAAGGCCATCATCAAAGGAAAGTCAGACACAATGGCGTGAAATATATTTGAAAAGAATGTATTAGCATGAACTCACGTTCATACTATCAAAAACAAGCAAAACAAGAGCTGCACAAAAGAGATTAGAACATATCAACAGGGAAGACCAAACCATTTGCTCATCTTATGAAACCGTGGAACTGCATTTCTTCAATATTCCCATGTTTTTAGCCTTGTGTTTATAGAATTGGGGCAGTCGCTGATTTTGAGTTACTTAAAGAAAAAAACAAAACAAAACAAAAACCCACTAAATAAACAAAAAATTCCTGTTAGGTTCACCTGGCACATTATACATGGGGAAAAAAAAAAAAAAAAAAAAAAAAAAAAAAAAAAAAAGGTATCTTATTTCATCTCTACATTGGCAGACTTTATGTTAAAATCATCAAAAATTGTACAATTCCTTCCAAAAAAAACATAACTTATCCTGCTTGACTTATAAAGTGGAAAAAAAAAAAAAAGCCAACTTTCTTGTTTTTTCTTTTTTTTTTCTATTTTGTGGAAATGTTCTTGAATATATGACAATACAAAGCAATCTGAGCACTGACGTCTGCAGACGTGCTCTGACAATAAAATTAAGGCATGTGTATTTGAAGGAGCTAGGTGCCAGTGTATCTGCCCAGGTACTACTGAGAGGTGTAAGTGGATGAAAAGGAGCAGTTGCTGCAAGAAGTCCTCATCCTTTCTCTCAGCTACCGTTATCCCGCACTGCAGTTCCCATACCCTCAGTGGAACCAACATGGCTGTTGTGGGGCTGTCATGAAAAAAGAGTATCTGTAACTACTTTTCTTAGTTTTCTTAATCCAAATCAAGTAGAGTAAGGAAGATGTCATTTTCTGCTGGGAAGGACAAGATGAGATCTTTCATTAGGGTGAGTGCTGCTCTCAAGAAAAGCAGGCAAATCTTTCTACAGATCCAAAACAAGTCACAGACTTAATGCAAGAGCTCTTTGGCAAAAATCTCTGAATTTCTCCCAGTTAAGTCAATCTATTTGGTAATATCACAGTAAAAAATAATAGGAGCAAGCAGATCAGCTAGGGAATACAGCCAAAGGAATGAGGATAGGACAGCGTACGGTGTGATGAAAGATAAGAGATATCACTGCTCAAAGAAGCCTTTACTGTGGTGGCTGCAGAAATGTATGCATGAGTTTTCCTTGTACTGTTCTGACATAATTTGGTTCCCCTAGTGACACGTATTTTATGGGATGACTGTTTCTGATGATGAATTGGTGATGCTGGGGTGAGACAGAAGTTACTTGGTCCCTTACAGTTCAGAGCTTGGGGAGATTATCTTCCAGAGTAATCTTGTGATGTGCAATCCAGTTTAGCTGGATTAATAAAGGCTCAAACACAACATTCAAGAGTTTATCAGCTAAGCCAACAAAACCAATAAATCTCAATCTTTAGTAACATAATTTGATTCACTACCTGCTAAAATTAGTCAATTCCCTTGTGCTAGCTGGTACAAATACGAGGTCTGATCACCACGCTTCAGTGGACCCACTTGAGCCTAGTATCGTGTTTCCGACTCCTTACAAGCACAGAACTCCTGGGCAGAGACAGTCCTATAGACTGAAAGGGACTGAGTCTAATGCTAAGATCACTGTCAATCTTCCATACACACATGGGCAGTAACTTCAGTGCAGATTTTCAAGAGACAAAGTTCAAGATCTCCAGAGAGGTTCCAGGCTGCTGCTGGCTCACCGGTGTGCCTACATGTGGGTGCCAGCTCAGTTTGCCAAACCCTTATCAACTAATCTTTCAAATATACAGGGAATTTCTTGTAACACAAAAAATACATTGTTTTAGCATGCTGGCCTAATTTAGATAAGTTTTCATGGAATGGTGTGGAAATAATTGAGTAGTCCTTGTTGTCTTTGGTTTGTAGTTCTAATTGCAAAAATGTTTATGCACAACAGATAATATGTTCAGTATCTAAGAATCACATTAAGAATAAACACTAGTGACATTTTTCAAGATACATAATCTGCTCATTTATGAGACTCGTATGTCTAAAGAGGAGATTTTGATTATTTTAATACAGTCCTGTGGTGACTACTGTTGACTTTCCAGCAGGCAAATGGACAGCTTGACAGCTAAATACTTGAAGAGGTTTCATACTTAAGTATCTCCAAGATCTTAATTTTCCAAGTAAATCAGATCTTACATTTGGGTTAAGGCATATAATAATCCAAGTGATATGTTGGTAAAAGAAATATCTTTGTTAACATGTAGGAAGCAGCTGGAAAAATAATGTATTATCAACAAGAACTTGTAGTTTGGTCAATGCAAAATAAAGCCCTTGCAAAATGTTAACAAGACGTATATTCCAAGTACTTCTGTAGTTAAACTTCCTTTTTATGAACCTCCAACCCCTTCACCAAAGCAAACAAACAGCAAAATATATATATGCAATATATATATATTATATATATATGCAATATATATATATATGCAATATATTACTATTTAAGAATATAATTTTTTTAAACACCTGTCTTCAGAACATAGATTTCAAATTAGTGATCACTTTTCAAATACTTATAATTCTTACAGATAGATAAACTTATATCCATGCTGTCTCATCTTTCCAACTCCTTAACATAATGATAGCAGCCCATATGCCAACATCTCATAGACAATATCATCACAGCCTCCCTTAACCCTCAGAAAAATAAGAATAGCTAACTTTTCACTCAAATGTTTAATAGATGCCAGTCATTTAATCATCAGCCTAAGCATGTGCACATGAAATAAACATCTTCAGTCTGCAGACACATCTCAGGACAACAAGATACCTACCCTCTTCAGAAGTTATCTTGAAGAAGGAACTCAGAGATACCATTATACTTATGTCATTCCTAAGATATAAAGGTAGAACTGCCATCCAGGCTTGAATTGGGAATCATCTTGATGGGTTCTGTGACAAACTCAGATGGCACCCTCCTCCCATCAAACCTTTTCTGGAATGCTGCCCAACCAATGACAACTTTATAGACACCAAGAGGAACATCACATTCACAACTTACAAATACCACATATAGAAAAACTTAGGATAATATACTTACCTCCACAAACTGGCAGCCTTCCCTAATACCACAGTAAATGCGATCTAATTCCAGTGAACTGGTTATATGCCAAGTAAATACAGTGTAATGGCCAAAATGTGCATTGGGAATGGAAGGAGAAGAAGCCTCACAGCATGGCTGAATGCTTCCCATAATGTGCCTCATGTAACAAGTCATCATTTTCTTTTACAGAACATCTGAAAGAGAAAGGGAGAAAGTTTCGCTGCTAGTTGTTACAGATTTTTGCAGACAGTAATAACATCTCAGCATAGTAAGGATTAATACATACCATGTATGCATTGTTTGTACCTATTCCAAAATGAATACTTGCAATGAAGTAATGTTCTATTTAGTGAAATTTAAGCAAAATTTTACTAACCAAGCTTTACATGCTTCCTCAGTTAAAAAGGTAATGAAAACTTTGCAGCCAGCAGAACTGCAGCATGCAGCAGCACAAGAGTATCCTTAAATTTAAAACTGTTTGTCATCTACTTTGGAGAAAAAAAAGAAATTTAAGGTAAAACCTCCCAGCACTGTTGCCAGGGAGTTCGGATTGTTTTGTGGCACATCTGCAGAGTTGAGGGGTTTGGGTATAGTGATGATATTTGCAAAAGGGCAGCTCATGTATTACTTAAGACCTGTTTTTGCCCCTTGGTAGAGCTAATAGAACAGCATTGTTTAGTAGAAAAGTCCCTTTGGTGCCTAATAAACTACAGTGAGTTTAAAAATTATATAACTTCCAATTTGAGGCTGCATTTTCACTTGCTCTATGAGAAAGACTTAATCTGAGCTACTTCTTCGACTGTGCTACAGAACTGTATTTAAATCATTACAGAAGAGCACAAGATTGGTATACTTGAGGCAGAAAATGGGGAGGCTGCACACATCCATACTCAGCTCACTAAAATTTGAAGTCCTCTCAAGAAGTATTGGTTTCTCTCCTCTGACACTACAGGAAGTTCAGTAATTAGCATGCTGCTGGTCCCAGCTGTTGTGTTAACTGGAAGTTTTAAATTAGACTAGATGGAAAATATACCGAGGTAAACAAGATACCTTGAAATTGCCAGGAGATGTAGGTTCAATGATCTATTAGATGTTAATGATTGAAGGGACCTATAATTAACAACGATAGCATTGCAAAGTATTTGAATGTTCCATTGCTGCGGGACACATCACAGACACCAAGTATTAATTATGACTTTTTAAATTCATCTGTCCTCAGTGACCCATTGTAGCTTCACTGAGGAGCACATCTTTGAGGGCGTCCTCGACTTCATCATGTGCTCAGTCTCTCACGGAATGCACTGGCATCATTTCCTTCCTACAGCAGAGTTCAATTTATGTTTTTCAAAGCCACCTCTTCTCAGTTGGCAGTAACTGACAAGCCTTGCACTGGGTAATTTTGTTCACTGGATATGCCCTTCCAGGACAGTTTTCACTTGGAATCTTTCCAGGGATGTGTCATCTCAAGTTTGTTTTACTTGGATAACTATTAAAATCTCATCAGCACAGCACTTTTTTGCCCCCCTATATTTAATTAAAGTTGTGCACTATAACAGAATCCTATCAGTTCAAAAGAAAAGAGAACCTGATCAACCACCATGGAGCAACATTATCTGCTGGGCTACAGAAGGTTAATTAGGAGTAAGATGACCAATGCTTTTAACCAAGTAAGTAATAAAGAATTTGAGCAATCAGTATGACCAGAGCACAGTTTCAAGCCCACATAGGCAAACTGGTATAGACCTCTCCATGAATGTCAGTGGCTGACTGGACCTGATGTAAGAAGAAAGACTGAAGTTCCCACAAAACCACACCATTTTAACAAACTGTCTTGGTTTTAAACAGTACCTTGCACACTGATCTCAATAAGAATAATGCCTTTACTTGATACATAAAGAAAAATGCTTTTCTGTCTCATTGTCACATCTCAGTTTCATGACATTTTGGCAGTGGAATTTTTCTCTACCCATTTTGAGAGTCACTTGTTTTGGTCAGCACTGAAGATCTCTCCCACCCAGTGACACAGCTAATTGCATAGGGTTCCTAGAGCTGCACTGAGCAAAACTAATACGACCCTGAAGCTACAAGTAGGAGGTCATGCTTCTGCTGTTTATCTCCTACTAGCTCTGCTGCTCACCAAACCCTACCTTGATCTATTTTACTGCGTCAAAATGGCAGGGGGGAGAGATAGGGTTAGATAGTTTTCTCCTGTACTGTGTAGGAGGATATATCAGCTCTCAAAAGGGCCTGACAAAACTGAAGCCGCTGTCCAATGAATGAGCAAAGCACAGCTCAGATTATGTGCAAGACCTCCCCCTTCCCCAAAAGTAAAGTGGTGCCTCCTCCTGCCTGCTTTTCTGTTTGCATTATTTTTAACCTTATCTGGTTCCCTGACTCAGTTCACAATCCCCAAACAGTTGTGTCAACAACTGAGTGAATGACAGCCTGAGTGTAGAATTTCTTCAGCTTGTTTCTCTCTAAAGGCCACATGTAGCCTGAGCAGTATTTTGCTTCAGGCAAGTCTACCATGTTCATTTAAGTGAAGACTAAGTGTGGAGGTGTTACCAGCCTAAGGAAGATAAGAATCTGGTGCATTTACCTTGTAGTTAAGTTTATATTAATCCACTACACACATTACAATTGATGAGCAGCTAAGCTTGTGATATATTTCAAAATCACAGTTCTCAAGTTTGTCTTTTCACTTTTAAGGTTTAGTTTCTACATAACGTTGAAGTAAGCTTCTGTTCCTTACTATCACTGAAGTTTCACAACTACTCTCTACAGATATAGAGTAAAAGTTTTGCACTAAAGAAGCTATGATAATTCAGACAGTTTCATAAATCATCCCAGAAAAAAGGCAAATCTGAGCGGCAGGAAAGGACTCAGTTTGGCAATGAGCCAGCCCCTTCACTTGCTTGAGAAAAATTTGGCTTCAGGGATACATTTCAGAAAAACACTTTCAACTATCACAGAATTACGGAATTATTAATTTTGGAAAACACCTTCAGGATCATCAAGTCCAACCATCTCATTGCTAACCCATCTTTCTTAAATACCCCCAGAGATGGAGATTCTACCACATCCCTGAGAAGCTCACTCCATTGCTTGACCACCCTCTCTGTGAAGAAGTTCTTCACAATATCCAATCTAAACATCCCCTTGCACAGCTTGAGACCACCTCCTCACATTTGATCACTTCTCACCTGAGAAAAGAGACTGATAGAACATTATGTTGTGATATCTTGCTATTATGAAATATGAGCTAAGTTTACTACTGTGATTAGGTTGATCATCAAAACTGCAGAAAAATAATGAGAGCCATTTATCTTGACTAGGATCTTCTGTGACTACATTAGTTCAGAAAGGGAAGTTTCTGCCAGCTGAGTTTGGGTGGCTACTCAGCTGATGTTTAGGAGAATGCCTCAAAGGCCAGCTACCAGGACACCAGCTGTACATTGTGTGAAACCTCTTTCTCCACTGGACTTAAAAACTCTGTGGACTGGCTAGACACAGATCACAACTTGATACTGACATGTAGTTAACTGTTAGTGTTCTGCCTTTGTCATGTATTTGTCTGTTTCCAAACGCAACTAAGAGCTCCTTTGATTCCTTTTATTTCACCATTAAATCTTGCCCAATGTTAAGAAAAACTTTACGTTAGTTTAAGAAATACTGGAAAATTCCATTCCCAGGGTGAAACCAGTCACCCTGTGGATCATGGACACAGCAAGTTCAGCAAAAACAAATGCCTCTACTTAACATTCCTAAGCTGTTCATCTTCCACTGAGTTCCACGGCAGGAAGGATTTTCTTCCTTCATAAGCAGTGGAACAGCAAGGAAGAGACCTAAAGGTGAGACTCCCTTTAGATCTCTTTACAGTGGGTTGTGGCATCTCTAATCCATGGAAATAAAGAAGCTATCTTCTCTATAAAAAAATGTCCAATGCATTTAAAGATCACTATATTCTTTTAATACCAAAACAGTAATTTCATTTATTTGAAGTACTCCCACTTAAATTTTTATTTCCCCAACTCTAAAGACCCATAATTTTTTTAAAAAAGAACAAAAGTAATGATCTGAGATTGGCAAGCAGCAAGTCAAAGCTTCATCTAAGTTCTATTGCTACATTTCTCTCATCACTTATTATTTGAGCTGCAAAATATGAATATGCCCAAATCCACTGCTAAACTAAATCAGCTGATAAGTATGACGCAGTACCCACCTAACAGAAATAGGGTACTTTCAAATGATCCTTTGTAATGCAGGCTGAGCATGCTAAAACTGAGTGGTTTGGCTATATAAAAATTCTCAAGCAAGTCTGACTGCTTGAAAATTTTCACATAAAGGCTAGTACAAACAAACAGTTTGGGAAGTAACAATACACACTAACATCATGCAAGATCTTCAGTCACCTCCATCTGTGCCAGCCAAGCTCCAAAGGAGAAGCAGCAGCTGAGGTAAAGATGTCACTCAACACAGTGACCAAAATGCAGATCAATTATCAGACCTTACATGACACTTACATTTTATCCTTCCAGTGTTTCAGTGATTTTAATGAGTCTTCTCAAAACATGAGAAAATTTCTGGGCTATACATAACTATATAGCTCCAGAAGTGCTTACCTTTCAGGGCAGTACTGCTGATTCTCTCTATTCCTGTCCTTATCCCATCCCACCTTTGTCTTTGTTAAGCAATAAATTTGTCCAATAAAACTCCTTTCTGCTGGGCAGTTCTGTGGACTTTTTGATCAGATTTGAAAACGTTGTAAGCGCAATCCTCAGCTCTCACAAGACTTTCCCTCACTAAATTACTGCCATACCAGGAACATGTTAGATCTGTTTATTCAAGTGACATTGAAGGATTAGCCACCATACATGAAAAGGTGGTCATACTATTTTAGAACCAGCTTCAGTTTTGCTTTGTCAGAAATTCACAAAAAACCTTATCAAAAATCACATTATTCCTGCTCTAACTGAAGATAGCAATGTTTCCACAAGGGCAAAGTTTAGATGGACAAAGAGATAAAAATATAAGGTCACTTCAGTGAGGCAGTCTGAGCTGGAATGTACATTTTGAACAAAGTAGTCAGACTGTGTACAAGGTTTTCCTCTCAGTTCTGTGCAGCATTTCCAATAGAGAAAACCAGCCTTGTGGCTAAACCAGAGATGACACAGGGCATTTATTTCTGGCTTGC